TCATGTAGTGCAGCCTCTTATTTTCCACAGAGGGAAAATTGAGACCCAAGAGAGGAAGTGGCTTACTCAGATCAAAAAAGAGAATTAGTAGAAACTCTATGCAAGTATGCGAAAGGGAACATGACGGAAACCCAGACTTTCAAATGGGATGCGCCAAATGAGTGTGTAAACCATCACTTTGACAATCATTACATCGTTGTCTAGAATTTCCTATGGATTAAAGACACTATACCACCTTAGTTAAAAGTAACTAATCCCCAGAAAAATTGTCAGATCTGTGTTTGTTTTTAAAATGTTTATTTTCTGTTAATTGGTATTTTACCTTAGACTTTTGTTCATCTCACAGCAAGGCAAATGCATTTCTACCTAATTTGGCTATGCTGACAGGAACAGTATCTCATCTAGTTCAGAATCCTCAGACAGTGTATGGGCACAGGGTAGGTACTCGAAACATTTGTTAATTTATGCATTGTGGTAACACAGTGGCCATTCTAGTCTGACATGCCTGGTTGTGAGTCCCAGTTCTGTCACTAGCTATGTGGCCTTGGGCAGGTTATTTCACCTCTGAGACTGTTTCCTTATCTGAGAAATGTGATGAGGGTGTATGTATGTAAATACACACACACACTCCTTAAAATAATACTTTGCAAGATTCTAAATTCCCAACATGGTACCTGGCACCTACACTGTTGGGATTTGGTTTTTGTTGTTGTTTTGTGGGGGAAGGGAGTGATCCTTACTTTTTTCTGTGTTAAATTTCAAAGCTAAAATTGGGATCTAAGAATGTGGCAATTTCAGCATTATCTCTGAGAAATACCTTAAACTCTTAAACAAACAAACAAAAATGTGTCTGTGATTTTTTTTCTGTCATTGATCACTCCTCATTCATGTCCTATTCTATTGCCTTCTCTCTTTTTCTCCCTTTGCCTCAAAGAAAATTAATGAAGCTGTATAGAAAGCTCCAAGATAGAAGTGACCTTGTGCATCTTTAATTGAGGACAGAATTTGCTAAAAGTGCCTCCAAAACCCACTAGTGGCTTACTTTACAATCTGTGTCCTGGCTAGACTGGCTATTGGCTGTATAATTTGTCTAGTTTTGTCTGGAGTCTTAGACTATTCAGCTGCTTCAGGGCAAAATCTTTTGGGGTGTCATTAAATGGGATTGATAATTGGCTTCTGATGAATATTCATAGTGACTAATGACTTTGGGCAAATTTTACACATACTATCTTTCTATTCTCCCACTGAGTGAGAGTTTGATAGGATCATTTCCTTCAACTTACACTTCAATTAAAATATTCACAATACCCCTTTGTTGATTACTATCTAAATTGTATACTTTCATTACTTTTAAATTTTGTATTCTGTAAGAAGTGAACATAGGCCTTTAGGATCCTTATCTTTTAAAATAGGGTTGGTTTTAGAGCTATTTTTAAAACAAGTGGTTAATAATAATATACAAGACATAATATGGTATTTCTGATTAAGCATAGATATATTATAACACTTTTTTTTTTTTGTGGTCAACTCAGCCACTTTTCCTAAGTAACGGTATACACTGTTTATGCTATTTAGTATTTGGTAAAAGAGCTCAAATATCCCTCCCCCACCCCATGCCCCACCTTTTTTTTTTTCTTTTTTTTTCTTTTTTTCTTAATCAGATGGGCAAATGCATTTTGTTCCAATTGCAGAGACTTGGCCCTTAGAAAAACCCCAATAAAAATGATGATCAAATACCTTAAAAGTTTGTTTTTCATGAGAAATCAGAAATTTTTAAATCTTGGCATCCAGCTTGGCAGGGGATTCTTTTTTTCTTTCTTGAGGTTAAAGAAACATGAAAAGAACATTGTATGAAGATAAGATCTCTGCCATTTTACCAGTTGAAATAGGCTTTAGACTCAAACCAATTTAAGCTAAAAAGAGGCAGGTAATCAAGTTCTGTTTGAACCAGGAACATTTTACTGAATAACTTTTTTAAAGAGAACTCCAAATGAATTATGTGATAACTTATATTTGTGTGGCACCTTGTAGGTTTTAAAGTGCTTTTATTTATCTGATGTGTTGTAGAGTTATGTTGTGGAACGAATGGATGAATGAATTCATTGACTTGATTTTCCAAGAAATGGCATATCTTGTATCTATGCTTATTGGCATTGTTTTAGAATTTGTGTCATATACCCCATTCTGTGACATTCATGAAAATATTGGTCCAATACTATTAAAAGCCAAGCCACTAACTATCTTTAGTTAGGGACATGTCAAAAGATTAGGGGAGAACTATTCTAACTATTTTTTATTTATTCAAGAAAGATTGCATTAGCTGGCACTTACATATATGTTGCACCACCAAGACCATGGAGAGGAAAAGAGAGACCGGCCTTTAAGTCCTTTACAGTGAGAGGACACATTTGCATTTATAACCCCTTTGATCGTGGGGTGTATGCCCAGGAGAGCCGTGTGAGGAAGGTAGCACTTGGAGGAGTTTGCTCTGGGCACAAATTCCGGCCAGTTTAGAGGACCGGTGGAAAGAGAGAAAGAAGGAAAAGAAGTACATAATGCCTCCTACATCTGCAAATGCTTTATTCCAAAGATAAACTTGGAGCAGGCAAGAGAAACTGTGGCTGGAGATGCTGCTCTACATGTAGACTGGGAACTGGTGGAGTCATGCCTGTTTCAGGTGTGTCCCCAAAGACTTCCGAGTAGGGTGTTCCACGACTAGCCCTGCACTTTATGTAAGAATACTTTGGCAGCTCAAGGGTGGGCAGAAAGAGCTGGGGGTCCAAGGCCAGTGTCACCCCCCAGTTTGACTTCAGGATGGAATAAAAATAAAATTGGTTCATTTTCTACACTTTTAATACTGGCAAAGATTCTCATTTCTTCTAAAACTGAAGAGATTAGTCATATATAATATGACAGTTTCCTTTATATTGAAGCAATATTAAAATGGGTTGAGAAGGCTGGGTTAAATCTACAAACCTTGGTGTGTCACTGGGAACAGCTCTAGAGAGCTTCTGGACCAGCTTCTGTTGATGACATGTACCTGGTTTAAAGAACAGTGTCTGAGGAAAGAGGTGGGGGGCAGGGAATAGCAGCCCTGGATTTAATACACAGCTCTCACAACTGTGAAACATCAGCAGAATATCCCATTTAAAGCTGTTCGTGTTACACTAACCTCTGGGATTCTTTTAACTGGGCCTTGGCACATCACTCTTTCACCACGTAAATGTCTTTCTGTCAACAAAGGCCAGTTAACAGCTTCCAAAAGAAGCAAAGTCCTCATGGGAACAGGTTTCCCAGAAACCAAAGAAACAAGACAGAGAGAAGCATGTGTTGTTGGCTTTTGTCACTTCATAGCCTTATCTCCCAAGGTGTTGGTTTTTTTCCCCTTCTTTCTCTCTATTGAATTTTTTAACAATTTTATTTCCATTATATCTTTGTTTCCAAAAATTTAATTATATAAAGTACTGATTGTATGATGTATCTAGCTCTTAAGAAAAAAAGGTATATGAAACAGAGGCATGTCAAAACAATAGGGAGAGGAAGGATTAGTCAGTTAACAGTGCTGGGGCCATTGATTAACTATGTGGAAAAAATAAATTCTCACCTCAGTCCTTAAACCTAAATTCATTCCAGATGGATTAAAATTAAATGCTGGGGAAAGATTTGGGGGACTTTCTTAGTATAAAAGCAGTGGAAACCATCATGAAGGAAGAAATTTTTCTATGTGTTAACTTAAACCTTCTCTTCACCCCCAAAAATTCAAAGAAAATTAAATAAGGATGAAGTATTTTTTCCCAAAACATTGCAAAGAATTTTAGTGTCCTTTTCATATCTGTTGTTTCTTGCAAATCAATTTTTAAGCATACTAGTACTCATTAGAAAAAGTGGCCTAGGAATAGGAAACAGACCATTTACCTAAAAAATATAGTCAAGAGATATATGGCAAGATGTTCAGCTGTAGTCATTCTTCAAAACATAGGAATAAAAAAATAAAAAATAAAATCAAGCCGAAAACAGTTTGGCTAAGTGGATAGAGCATCAGCCTGTCAATTGAAAGGTCCCAGGTTTGATTCCGGTCAAGGGCATGTGTACCTTCGTTGTGGGCACATTCCCAGTAGGGGATGTGCAAGAGGCAGCTGATCGATGATTCTCTCTCATTGATGTTCCTGACTCTCTGTCCCTCTCTCTTCCTCTCTAAAATAATTAGTAAAATATATATTTTTAAAAATCAATAAAATATATATTTTAAAAAAATTAAGATAGATTTAGTTTAAAGCTAACTTGAGTCCAGTTTTTGGTGCTGGTGAGGTATAAGGGGACACTGTAGCACAGGGCGAGTGTAAAGAGCTTCCATCTATTTATTATGTGAAAGCATTTACTATGTTTATGTTTTTATATTTATTAAGTGCCTTAAAATATTTATGACTTTTGTCTCTGCATTCTACCTCTAGGAACCAGATATAAAAATTATTGACCTGATCTGATTATATAACTTAATGGTAGAAGAGTGATTAAATATAGTATGGGGAATTTATTGAGTGTTGTTAAAAGATATGTTTTCTAAGAGTATTTTAAAGATATGGGAAAATGCCAGCTAATAATGTTGACTTGAAGAAAAAAGAACATACTGGCAAAAAAAAGAACAAGTGAACACTGTAGTTATAATAATCCTAATTTTATTAGAAAAGGAAATACAAGTGCATATGTATGTAATACCCCAAAATGTTAAATTATTTTCAGATGGTGAAGACTTTTGTTTCCTTTTATTCCTTTTTCCATTTTCTAAATTTTCTGCTGTCATTGTGCATTAGCTTCATAATCAGGTAAAAAATAGATTGTTTTTTGAAAAGCAGGCTCTTATTAAATTTGAATTAGGGTGATTGAGTTAATTTATTTTAAATACTTTGAGAAGTATGTATTTAATTTTATTGCTCCACTCCAACAGGACAGTGTCTCACTTTGACTGCTAGTTCTAAGCCTCCAATTTGCTTCTCTTGCAGTTGACGGCCTGCATCCACGGGTCTGCCGCCATGCTCTACCCCATGTTCTGGCAGCATGTGTACATCCCCGTCCTGCCACCACACCTGCTGGATTACTGCTGGTAAGCCGCTGCTTTCCCCACCTCTGCTTTCCTTCTCCGGAACTGTCATGGAAGTTAGGTCTGTAACTTGTAATGCAGTTGATGACTATAAATGAAAAATATTAGCTTCAAAAATGACATGCGTTTTAGACCACACGATTGCATGGCCCTTCTGTTTCCAAACAGCTTTCATATATGTCATGGCATTCTTTAGAGTTCAAGTGAGTAGTTAATACGTTTCCCATTTCTCAGTTTGGGGAAACCAAAGCATCATACAAGTAGTTGTATGATGTGTTGTTGTTTTTTCCTGAGACAAATTAGAAACTGGTGACAAGAACAGTTGAGATCCCAAAGTCTTCAAGTTTCAGCCATGTCCTGGCACGTTCTGTAAGACTTACTCTCAACTGTGGTTTGGAAGCACCAGCCAGACTTCAAAGCCTCTGAAGTTGTTTTGATGGGAATTTCAGTGTTCAGTGAACCATGTTTCAGTGGAAGGCAGGCAGGCTTTAGTCAGCTCTATCACGTTGGGCAAGTCACTTGGCTTAAGACTTTGTTTCCTCATCTGCAAAATGAAGTTCTATACTTATTTATATAAAGATGAAATGATATAACAGACGAAGAAACACCATGAAGAAAAGCTGTCTCATGGTGGGTGTTCAAGCATGTTTCTGCAGGAGCCTTGTCATCACCACTGTCTTGTCTCCAGTAGATCACCAAGAAGACTGATTCAGATCCATTTTCCTTCTGAACAATTTATTTCTCTAGGGTAATGTGGTTAAAGAAATTGTCTCTTGAGAGTTCAAGTCAGCAGAAGTTGATAAGGGAGCACTGTGCCCTGTTAACTTGCCACCCCCGCCCCTCACATGTAGGAAAAGGCATTGCCTGCCAGGAATTGGCAACTTCAGGAGAAATTGGTTCAAAATGATTGAGTAAGGTCAGTCATAATTTTTGCTGGTTCTCTAACCCATTTTGCCAACCTGCCACTGAAAAGGTTCTCCAAGGTAGCCAGATCGTCCTGGGACTTCAAAGATATTCCACAGTACTTCTAATTTTAATGTTGAGCTCACCCTCATCCCAAGAAGCCATGAATGCAACAAAGATGTTGCTCAGGTCCATCAAGGGAAACTCAGCGTCCCTCTCTTTCCTAGCACTAAATGAATGGGCTCATCTGTCTGCTCTCATCTTTCTTATCAAGGTGGCTCCTTTTATCCATGCCTTTCCCCTACCTCCTATGAGATTAAGGGTCTTCCTCTATTTAGACTTGCTGCTCCTTTGGAGCTTCTGAACCACTGCCATGTCTCTCAAAGGAAAGGCCTGTGTTTGCTATCCAGCACTGTTGTTATTTGCACGATTGAGGGGCTGGCAGAGGCAGACATAGAGGAAGAAGCAGGGCAGGGGAGTGGAGAAGAAAGAACAAAATACACACCCAAGGAAGGCAAAGGGGAGATACTTGAGAAAAATAAAAAAGGTAGAAAGGGGACATATGTCTTCTAAGACAGACTCACACAGTGTCACTCAGTCAACTTGCCACCCCTGCCCCTCACATACAATACCCCCACAGGCACATGGCCCCCATACTGACACACAGACACAGGTCCCTTCTCCACAAGCACATGTTTCAGGGGCCCTCACACAGAAGGAGACTCATAACCCTCACACCCTCACCCAGGCATGTACTCTAAGGGGAAACCTTAGGGTTCTCCCTGGAAGTAACTCACCTGTGTGTCTTGATGCTGTGCTTTAGGTATGAACGCCCAGGATTCCTGTGTTCAGGGGTTGGTAATAGTACAACTTTAGCTTTCTGTTATTTGGGAAGTTTTGGTTGCTAATTTATTAGCTAATTTAAACCCAGCAGCTTATATTCCCAGAACTGTGGAGAGGAACTGTGAAATTACAGTCAGTAATATCAATGATCACAGTAGCAGCCAGTGGTGAATGTATCCTATGCCCCAGTCACTGGACTATCTCCTTTGCGTCAGTGATAGAAACCCGTAAGTTATTGGCTCCATTTCGAAGGCTGGTAAACCAAAGCCACAAGAGGTTTAGTAACTTGCCCCAATGTAGGTATTATGTACTGTATGATTCCATTTTTATAAAAACAAGCAAAATCATGGTATATATATAACATAAAAATTAAATGTGTATACACACACACACACACACACACACACACACACACACACACGGGCAGAAATCTTTAAGGAAATACACCAAAATGTTAACAGTGATTCATAATGGGGAGGTGGGGGAGGAATTCGGCATGATTTTTATTTTATTTTTCATATTTCATATATTTCTATGAAGAAAGTGTGGTTTTTTTATAATTGAAAAGTTTTACTTTAAAAAAGAAAAATCAGCCGAAACCGGTTTGGCTCAGTGGTAGAGCGTCGGTCTGCGGACTGAAAGGTCCCGGGTTCGATTCCAGTCAAGGGCATGTACCTTGGTTGCGGGCACATCCCCAGTAGGGGGTGTGCAAGAGACAGCTGGTCGATGTTTCTCTCTCATCTACGTTTCTAGCTCTCTATCTCTCTCCCTTCCTCTCTGTAAAAAATCAATAAAATATATTTTTAAAAAAAGAAAAAGAAAAAGAAAAATCAGTGTGTATTCTAGCCAGTTTTTTTTCAGCTGCCATCTCAGGTCCTAGCTCTTCTTTCTTATTTGTTTAGAGGATTTATTAGCTGTTTGACTCCTTCCTGTGGAAGCTGATCTGAGATCCTCTTTTCAATTCCCATCTAACTCTAGCTCTATGGAGAACTGGGTCACCAGCCTAGCCGAGAGCAATAATCCTGGCAAGTCTAACTTAGAAGGGAAGGCTTGTCAAGGAAGTGGCTAAGCCCTGTCAACCCAAACTTCCACTCCTAAAAATCAAAGTTAAGGCCTGTTTTTTTTTTCTGAGCCTGAATGAGTTTTGTGATTAGGTTCCATCTTGAAAATTTCTGTTTGTGTGAACTTGGTCTCCTGGTCTCTTGTTTTCATGAAAGGACTATTTGACATTTGACCAAAGGATGATTATAGGCCGGTGGGGATTGGTATCTGTTGATTAACTGCAGGATGTAAAAATGATCAAGTAAATGACCCCAAGAGAAAAACAGGTCCTCCATTCAAGACTTGATTTGATCACCTTCAGCCTATGACCACTGATTTGGTCAGAAACTACAAATATCATGAAATTTGAGTCAATGCTAATAAGTTGACTCTATTGTGCTCAGTGACTTTCACCACATTGAGTTTAATCCTTGGTGGTAAGAGTCAGCAGGGATAACTAGCATTTTAAGTAAAGTGCTAGGAGCCTGGAACATGTAAATTTGAAAGAGGTTTGTTCCTCTGCAGATGATTTAAATGTTAAGTACGTCCCTATGCAGGGGATACACAAAATGGAATCTGAAAACTATTATCTCCTGTAGAAATGAACTCTCAATTTACTCACTGCACAGGAAGGGCAGATTCTAGTCATTTTCACTGCCAGCAGGTGCCCTTTCTATGCATAATAGACTTCGCAAGTGTAATTAACACATGAGGACCACTGCTGCCAGATTTTCCTCAGGTACATGCTGCTAGGGGTTTTCAGGACAACAGTGTAGTGTGGGTTATAAGAGCTTTTTACAGTGTACTTGAAGATGAGGTGTTCATTGACTTCAGGACAAAGACATGTTAAAAGGAGCCGAGCCCAGACCCTGCTGTTGGTAGCATAGGTCATGGTCCTTGAGCTCAGGGCCCCAAGAGCTGTCATTGCTGCCTTTGGTAGAACAGAGGCAAGTAGAGCAAAACTCGGATGCAGTGAGTAAATGGAAAGTATGATGCTGAAAACCCTGCAATTATGTGGAAGACTTTAATTGCATATTCACAAATACAACAACCAATTATCTGAGTTAACTTTAATTAGAGCTGTAATTACAGGTTTCAATTATCTGAGTAAATCGATTTAGCACAAATGGTCTTCCCTAAATATTTCCCAACTTAATTTTTTTTAAAATCTCTTCCCATTTCTAAGAGGGTGGTAGAGAAAGCACCTGGGCTTTGGGTTTAGGCAGACCTGGTTCACATCTGTTTCATCTCTTATTAGCTGTGCAACCATTAAAAATCTATTTTGCACCTCTGATCTGCAATTTTTTTTCTGTAAAATGGGTTTAATTTACCTACTTTGCAGGAAGGCTTTAGGAATTAGAAATATTGGTCATCAAGTGGCACACGGGAGCCATTTAGTGAATGGTGGTTGCTCTTAATGGTTATTATAAACATGGGACCTGGATTTTGGTTTCTGGAGGATTTAACTTGCATTAAACATTATTCTAGCTTCTGTAGTCTGTGAGCTCAGGGAAAAAGTTTATAATTCATCTTCTCTTTTTACCCTTCAGATTGTTTTTATTTTGATTTTTTTTTTTTTATTTAACTTGAGTTATTGTATGGTTGTTTTCATTTGCAGCTGTGGCATAAGAATGAAAAGAAAGAAACAAAAGCAGATGGCAGAGAAAACGAAAGGAGTAAGACATTTTCAGCCCTTATGAATATTTAAAAACATGTGCTGCTAGTTCCTTTCTACTTTAGATCTGTACCATTTTTCTAACTTTGAAAATGAAAATGAGAATGATCCCTACCTTGGCTGATGGCAGCCCTGACCTTGGCCAGTATTGTCAGAGCCTTCCCACTTCTGGGACAGAAGGATTAACTTGCTGATGAGAATCAGCATTCCCTTTCATTAAAATAATCACTAACTTTTGAGTCCAGTGTATGTGTCAAGCTCTTTATAAACATTATTGCAAATCTTCAAAATCAAGGTATAAGCAAGTGTTATTAGCTCAATTGTATAGATTCGGAAATTGATGCTCAGAAGGGTTAATGACATACCCACTGCCAACAGCTAAGAAATGGTAGGGCCTGAACTTGCAATCCAAGGCCACCTGATATTAAAGCTTTGTTGACTTAACACTCCAATGTGTTAGAAAAGAAGTTGTACCCATCACCAAGATTTTGTGAAAAAATTCTTGTAGGCTTCTTGATGACTTGCATTATGTAAACTTACG